AACAAAGTCGCCTTTTGGGCTTTCCGACGTTACAGGACGGCCCAAGAGGCGCCCAAGACCGCCCCAAGACCGCCCAAGAAGTTTCCCAGAGGGCCCCAGGACAGCCCAAGAGGGCCCCAAGACGGCCCAAGAGGCGCCCAAGATGGCCCAAGAGGGCCCCAAGACGGGCCCAAGAGGGGGCCCAGAGGGGGACCACGAACCGCAAGCTCGAGCCTTCCGCCCCAAGAGGCCGCCAGGAGGCCCCCAGGAGGCCCCTCAAGAGGCCCCAGGAGACCCCAGACGTCCAAGGACGCCCCCAAGAGGCCCCAAGAAGCCTCCAACATGCGTCCCAAGAGGGCCCCTAGACGCAAAAATTGGCCCATTCCCTTCGTAAAACGTACATTTTCAACAAAGTTGTCTTTTTGGCTTTCCGACGTTACAGGACGGCCCAAGAGGCGCCCAAGACCGCCCCAAGACGGCCCAAGAAGCTTCCAGAGGGCCCCAGGACAGCCCAAGAGGGCCCCAAGACGGCCCAAGAGGCGCCCAAGATGGCCCAAGAGGGCCCCAAGACGGGCCCAAGAGGGGGCCCAGAGGGGGACCACGAACCGCAAGCTCGAGCCTTCCGCCCCAAGAGGCCGCCAGGAGGCCCCCAGGAGGCCCCTCAAGAGGCCCCAGGAGACCCCAGACGTCCAAGGACGCCCCCAAGAGGCCCCAAGAAGCCTCCAACATGCGTCCCAAGAGGGCCCCCAGACGCAAAAGTTGGCCCATTCCCTTCGTAAAACGTACATGTTCAACAAAGTTGTCTTTTGGGCTTTCCGACGTTACAGGACGGCCCAAGAGGCGCCCAAGACCGCCCCAAGACGGCCCAAGAAGCTTCCAAGAGGGCCCCAGGACAGCCCAAGAGGGCCCCAAGACGGCCCAAGAGGCGCCCAAGATGGCCCAAGAGGGCCCCAAGACGGGCCCAAGAGGGGGCCCAGAGGGGGACCACGAACCGCAAGCTCGAGCCTTCCGCCCCAAGAGGCCGCCAGGAGGCCCCCAGGAGGCCCCTCAAGAGGCCCCAGGAGACCCCAGACGTCCAAGGACGCCCCCACGACGCTTCGCGTCACCAATTTCTTCTCACAACGATTCCTGGGTCTGTGACTCGACAGAACCTAAGCGCGCGCGAAGCGCGCGCGTGGTTCTAGTATATATATATATATATATATATATATATATATATATATATATATATATATACATATATATATATATATATATATATATATATATATATATATATATATACGCACCACCGATCTCCCTCGGCGACGCGTCTCGGACTTTTGCTGGGCTCGGCGCTCGCCCCCCCCCCCCCCCCCACACGCCGGGGAGGGCCAGGGGCCCCCGTTTGAGGTGCTCTGCCTCTGTGGCGGCAGCGCGGGTCCCGAGGGGCGCGGGTCCTCTGGCGGTGTTCTCGGCAGCCTCCTAGCTCCGGGGGCCGCTCGTGGGTCCGGGGCTGTCCCAACCTACTTTAGCCTTGATCATCAGAATGTCGACAGTTTTCTGGGTGCTCGAAATTGTTTCTGGCATGTGGTCGTTAAGTACGATGGGAGCAACATAAGTCCGGGGGTCCTGTCCGCTCTCGCTACTCAGGCGGTCGCAAGCATGGATCAGAGGGGGCGTGGAGTAGCGACGGGTCCCGTTTCCATCGGAAATCGCGGATATCCGCACCCGAACGGGGCGGGAACGGCCGCACTTTGGGGGAGGGCACCTCCCTCGATCCATGGATTTGGCGACCGCGCGCCAAATCCACGGATCGCTAATCCATGTTTGCGCGCCCCCGACTTACTCCTTCCTCCCCCGTTTCCAGGTCCTCCGTTTTCTTGCCGCCCTGGTCCCGCCCTTGCCTTCCAAGCTGGGATGTGGATGAGGAGGAGGAGGTGGAGGAGGACGAGGAGGGGAGGAGGAGGAAGAGAGGAGGGGAAGAGGGACGCTCTTTGCTTTACCTGGCCCTGCAGCATACTCTGGATGCTCTATGTTTCCATTATTATGCAGTCGAGAGGCGCCATCCTTTAGTAGATTCCGCACTGCTGCAGGACACTGACCTGCCGTTATGTTCTCCCGCAACTCACGCTTCAGGCCCTGTCTTTGCGTTGGCGCGCACGTGGAGCAGGAGGAGGAGCAGCAGGAGGAAGAGGAGTAGGAGGAGGAGAAGGAGCAGGAGGAGGAGGAGGAGGAGGAGGAGGAGGAGGAGGAGGAGAGGACGGGAGCGCTGCAGAGGTCTTGCCTATGGCAAGCTCATTCCTCTTGCACGTCCGGGCTGCGGAGAGCACGGCACGGGCGTTTTGGATTTCGTGTTTTTGGGGGGGAAGCCTCTTGGGGACCTCTTGGGGGCCTGCTGGGGCCTCTTGGGTGGTCGTTGGAGGCACCCTGTGGATTCCCTGGCGGTACGGGCGCTGATGGGGGGGAGAGGGGGCCGGTTACGTCACGAGTCGCACCCGCGGAGGGTGGACGCAAGGGCCCAGTTAACGTTTGGGCTGCGAGCGGCTTGTCTGGGAGCCATCTGGAACCGTCTTGGGGCCATATCGGGCCGCCTTGCAGCAATCTTGCCTTGCCATATCTGGCGGTCTTGATGCCTTCTGGAACCCCTAGAGGCCGATATCTCCGATGTTCCATAACGTTCCGCCCGCCTCTGCCTCCGCTGCCGCCTCGTTCCACGCTCCTCGTCTACGGCACGCTCTGGCGAGCAAGTTGCTTCCGCGCCCCAGTTTCCTCGTTCACGCGTTTGAGCTTCTCGACGCCGCCGATAACAAGTCAGCACAAGGCAACGCCAAGTTCAATTCCCCATGAGCATTGCAACAAGACGCCGGTAGTAAACCATTGCACGGGCCTTTTAGTGGTTTCTTGAGGCCTTAGGGGGCCTCGTGGGGATCTTTTGGAGGGGATCTTTTGGAGGCCTCTTGGGGATCCTTGGGAGACTCGTGGGGGCCTGTTTGGGGCCTCTTGGGTCCTCTTGAGGGCTTCGTGGGGGGCCCTTGCCTCTCCGGCCCCTCTTGAGGACTTCTTGGGGGCCTCTCGGGGCCACCTTGGGGCTCTCTTGGGCCCCTCTTTATGCTAAAACGCAGCAGGAACCAAAGGACAATGAATGTGTGTTGGCCTCTGGAGGCGCTCTTGGGGGCCCCCCTTCGGGCCCTCTGGGGCCGTCCTGGGGGCCTCCTGGCGTAACACAATACAACACGTAGCACGTACGCAATCGTTAGGTACATGGGCTACGTTGCATTAAAATGTTCGCAGAAAAATCGCTGCCGCTCAGCACGTCGCCTTCGGACGTGGACTCAAGGGGCTCACGCTATTTCGCCGACCCCTAGCGGAGTAAAGATTTCTAGGTCGGTTGGTACGCTACGATGGAGCTGGAATGACTAGGCGTTTTTGTTCACGCCCGCGAGGGCTAAACTCCCAGAGCCCCGGAGGGCTTCGGGGGGCATCTGACTGTTTTTTGGAGCCTCTTGGGGGCTTCTGGTAGCCTTTAGTCGGCCTCTTGGAGGCCTGTTGGGGGCCCCTTGGGGGCGTCTCGGTGATCTCTGGGAGGCTGCTGGGGCCGTGGGCGGGAGAACTGCTCGAGATGTCAGTCCTTATTGCTCGACTTTGACCTTGCTTCAAGCTCTCGCGGGTCGTCTCAGAGCTCCTGGGGTTGTCCTTGTGCCTGATTGGGGCTGTACTGGGCCGTCTTCGGGCTCTATAGGGGGCCTCACTGGCCGTCTTGGGACGATTTTGATGACCTCTTGGGCCGCACTGGACGCTGCCAAGACGAAGAAGGCGAGCATGTGGCACATATACGCTTTCTTTTTTGGGAATGGGGCGATGTGTTGCCTCTTGGGGCCCACTCGGCAGTACTCTGGGAGCACTATTAGGCTGTCCAGGGGGCTTCGTGGGCTGTCATGAAGCCATCTTGGACAGTCGCGGGATTCCCCTGGGCCGTTTCGACGCTCTCTTGGCGGTGTTCTGTTTGGGCCCTCTTGGGCTGTTTGGGGGCTCTCTGGAGAGCCCCTGGAGTGTTTTGCCAACACCGCCGCCCCCCCCCCCAGAACATGTCTCTGGACTCCTGAGCAAAGGGAAACGGGGGAGGGGACCGACAAACATCTCGCACGCCTTCTCAGCCCGGGCAAGCGGGGGTCGGCGGATTACAGAGGAGCACAAGGCGAGGAAGAGGAGGACCCAGCAGCAAGAAGTAAGAACACGAACAAGACAATAACATATTGATGGCCGTCGGCCTCATGTTGGCGAAGGATGAGGGGGAGGATGAGGAGGAGGAGGAGGAGGAGGAGGAGGACGAGGGGACGGAGGAGGAGGAGGAGCAGGGATGATGAGGAGGAGGAGGAGGAGGAGGAGGAGGAGGAGGAGGAGGAGGATATGGGGGAGGCCGACGGGGAGCAGCTGCAGAGGTCTGAGACGCGGCAGCAGCAGGACGCGGAGGGGGAGGAGGGAGGAGGGAAGGCGATGACCAGGGCGACGACGACGAGGACTGCAAAAAAACCGAAGGACTGCAACGACGAAGGGTTTTTTTGCAGTCGTTGGTTTTTTTGCATGGTTTTTTTGCAGTCCTTTGTTTTGCAGGGTTTTTGTTGCAGGTTTTTTTGCAGTCCTTCGGGTTTTTTTGCAGTCCTTCGTTCGAGCGGGAGGAGGACGAGCCGAAAGGAGGACGAGGCGCCGGGACAGGCGGGTCGAGGATCGAGGGGCAGGATGAGGAGCACATGCATGCCCAGGAGCCCGTGGAGTTGACATTCAAGAACAGTTTCAACAATCGTCTGGGGACGTCTCGTCGACAATTCTAATTCATTTTTGCACATTCTTGGATTATTTTCCATCATCCCTTCAAAAGTCGCCTGTAGGAGGACATGCCCGACCTAATCGTGGAGATGGGGAGAGGCGGCGACACGGCAGCGACGCCGCCGCCGCTGCGGCCAGCTCGCGGGGCCCCGGCCGCGCGCCCCCCACCAGGGCGCTTCACCGAGGGCAGCGAGGTGTACTCCTTCGGGATGGTG